CATGGTCTAATGGACTCCTTGGCAGAGCTGACGATCTGATTGTTACAGTTCTACAATCAGCGAGTGTCCCCATTCGGCTGAACATATTCATCATGAACAAATTACTCAGGAAATCAATAGTGTGCAACAACAGGAGAAAATTATGCCAAAACGCATGCAAGAGATAATATCGTCGTGGCTGACACATAGTGTAGGTTTGTAGAGCAAAGCGCCAACAAAAACATCGCACCGGTGGTAGCACACTGGGTGTGTCTTAAGACACGTAATGTCTGTTCTAAGCAGCACACGACCATGAAAACACAAATCTTATCTATATCCTGATCGCAGAATCTTGGCCACAAACATCTCCAAGCTAAAAACGCAGATAACATCGAATCGAAATGTTCCAGATAAGTCTCTGTCAGCAGGCAATACAGCAGACAACAGGTACGAGATTGAAAAAGGCAGCACCAGTCAGATCACCACAACCAATAATCGGGTTAACGACCTTGAAATTACATCATGATGATGTGAATGCTCCACTCGGCCTATGCTCCGTCGGTGAGGGGCCGCTTTGACGTGCTGATGTATAGGACTGCACCCAAACGAGAGGCAATCAGAACGGAGAAAAGGCAGGCAAATTGGAGTTTGATTGAAATATACATGACATACATACCGTTGTTGCCTCTTATGAAGGCGTCGCCATATTTGTTCTTCAGTTGGCCGTTCACGTACTCTTCGGTTTGCTCCATCGCGATGTTCATATAGCCATCCAGACAAGCCAGAATACCTGGTTCAGAGTTGATGTAAATACAACGCTATCATTAAATTTTGAATAACCATGTCTGGATGCTAGCTAAGTCGAATGGATATAAGATAAAAATAAGGGGACGGCATTTGCTATAAATTAGTGCATATATTGTTTTTATTGTACACTTAATGAACTGAGTTGGTGTATGTATCCAAGCATGGGAATTCCAAATGCAACAGTAGTGCTCATCAAGCAATAGAACATATCACTCCATTCCGAATTATAAGATATTTTGGATACTTCAATATGGACTACATACAGACTGAAACGAGTGATCAGACGCAATGAAATGCGTCTAGATACATGTGATTCATAAAAAACCTAGAACATCTTATAATTCGAAACAGAGGGAGTAGTTACTAGACTCGCGATTCGCCATTTTCCATGAATTGAATTCGATAGGGGGTATACATCTACGATTTGCAAATCGGCTTGATAGGATTTGCGATTTGGTTGGACCAGCCCAGGCAGTTGGACCAGCCCAGCAAGTGCCACTTCCTCTCTCATAACCAAGAACCATTGGATGCTCAAATAGTGATCTGCACTGTCCAAGTCAATACCCTCCTCATTTCTGCCCTAACTCCCTGAGAAACTAAGGTCAAAACCACCAGCCACACGTCCTCACTTCCTTCCTCCAGTCCCAACCCCACAAACTGCTCCTCCTCCTACCCAACCGCTGCAACCTGCTCCCATGTCTTCCCAGCGCTGTGTCCTTGTTGCTCCGCGCTGACTGCAGCTCCCTCCCGTCTCCTCCCAATGACGTCCAGGCTGCTCCTTGATGGCCGGTGCTCCTGGTCGATCGTTACTCCCACCTCGCCTGCAATTAATGGCGACGGAGGTAGCACGGTCATGTAGCAACGGTGAGGGCATGGACACCCATGTTCCTATGACTTCGTCCTTGGGTCGCAAATCAGGAACGAATCGAACGAATTTGAACCATGATCTAGATCAATCGATCCAGATCAGAGTTCAATGATGTTTTGAGTGAATCCGGCAACTATGCAATAGAAGTGACATTCAACTTAGTGTGGTCAGTATCACTGTGTACTTTTAACAATTATTACAGTTACAGTTGCTAAGTGCACAGTTTGCAGCAACTGGTCACTAATGCACATAGTGTACACAAAGGTTTGTCCATACGAGACTACGAGAGAATAAAAAAGGGACCAAAACAAAAGCACATATCACTAGGAGGTTGCTAGCTTGAAGAAGGTATCCAGCAGCTTGACACTTAACCATTCTGCTCCCCATTTACAGTTACTGCCGGAGTTGCTTTTGATGCAACAAGACTATGCACTGAGAAATACCATTTGTTATCTTGTTATTCTAGAATGGTTATTACTATTTACTTATTATATTTAACTTGGGCAGTCTTACTGATAAACAGTATACTAGTAGTAAATTGCAGAACAATGTAAATTAATGGGCACCCTCGTGTCTAAATATCTATTGTTTTACGAAAAGATAACCATTACTGTTTCCATGTATCCCAAATGTTAAGTCACATGGATTAAAAAGGTAAACGGATATCGTCAAGAATACAGTACTTTGTTTCTTTACCGGAACAGACATTAGCACAAATACCACCAGAGGCGGATAACTCTATTGACCCTTTGAACTTACTAGCGAGGCACTCACATAGCAGTATAGCCACTGAGCATAGCTACAGTGCACTTTCACCTTTCATCACTATATCTTCTAACATATGTATAAGCTACAATTTTAGGCTACTCAATGAAACTGTTAATTAACTGACACGGTACTAGCTACAGTTCTTGCAGTGCAGTGCTTCGCAGGGTAAAACATGCCCAGCTGAGGACTGAGTCCAATCATTTGATCCAGGTGATTCATAACTAGATGCTTGGAGTTCAGGTCCTCACGTGTAAATACCCTGTACCCTGTATTTTAGAATTTTAATTCATACAAGATAAAATTTAATAAACATCTAATGACTTTTTTTACCTCAGTAAAATATTCCAAAATAACGGAAATCGCAGGAGCCTTAAATCTTTCAAGTCTTGAAGGGTTACTCAAAGGGTCATCCAGAGAAGCACAGCGGCAGCAATTAAATAACTTCTGTTGCACATTCCACACTCTCACTTTTACGGTTTTACCTACCACAAATCGTGGTTGGAATCAAGCTCTGAGGTAAGATTTAAGGCTCCTGTGATTAAATAACTTCTGTCGCACATTCCGCACTCTCACTTTTACCTACCACAAACCGTGGTGGGAATCAAGCTCTGAAGTAACTAGGATACATGTCTCAGTAGCATTCTGTACGTGAAGGAAGTGACTGCTGGAAGCCTGGAACTACCTAGGTGAAACTGAGAGTGAACTCAACATGCATAAAGCAAGCATGCACCCAAAATCCAGGAGGTTATCTATTTAATTTGTTATTCACCTTTGTTCAAAATATTTTATTCCATGCTTTGTACTTGATTCAAGCACATGAAGTGTGACAAATTATCATATGCTAATGAGTAGCTGTGCCTTCGGGGATCAAAGAGTTCTGCTCTTCTAGGAATGTTCGGAGTCTTAGTAGACACTGTTAATGTCAGACTGTGAGAAGTGTGAAATTTCACCCCTATGACTGTGAACCCCGGGTTAGGAAGCTCGTGTTCATTTGTGAATTGTGATACCAATTAGTTCCCTCTCTAATAAAAAAACAGTTATCCCTGACATTCTGTTATTCTTGGTAAATCACCAAAGATATTTTTTTGCCGGCGTAATCTAATATTCTTGTGCGTGCTTGCTGAGTGTGACTTCATACTCATTCTTGCTTATCCGATTTTGGCAGCAAACAGCAGTGATGGTCATAAACTAATGATGGTTGGCAGTAGGTTTAGCACCATGGGACAGAATTATAAAGTTTGTTTTTAGAGATTTGTGTGCGGTAGAAAACGATGATCATCGATGAACATGTACAAATTTTAGCCTGGCATGTTTATGAAGTTGGGCTTATAAATGTGTGGTGGCTGTTCCGTCGAACACCTGTTTTGGGGGCATGACATCAAATCTCAATGGTCCCAATAGAAGGAATCTCTTGATTACAATGCACATTTTGCGTAACAATATCGAAATTCTTTAGATTACTTCACTTGAAATGTGTGGTGCATAAAATTAGAATATCATGACATATGAATGTACATATCAAAATGCACAAGTTTGTTGAATCAATTTTGCTACTCCCCAACTTGTCTACAACCCCGAGAGACGTAAGTAATTTGTGAAACCCAAATAGTAGAGTTCATTTGGTAATATCTAGTTCTTCAAGATAAACTTCTGCCACGTGAGCTTCAAGCAAAGGGCAACAAACCTAACATTGAATTATCCTCCTTAGCAGAAGACCAAATTTTACAGCTAAAAATAACCGTAAGCATCTAGTAATTCTCCAACTGATAAATCAACCTCCGTGCTCTCCGACCTAACCTCCGGGATAAAAAGTTATCCGCAAGCAGGCTCCCAGTAGCCCTGGTTTATCTCAACAGAAGTCTCATAGGTCGGGGGATCTACCGAATTTACCAAACTGCGCACAAAACATACTGCGCTTCCTAGGGTTGGTGCTATGGAAACGAGACAGGGATGGAGACGGACCTCGGTAGTCGACGCCTGAGTTGAGTTTAACGACGACGGGGCGGCCCCTGATCGACTTGAGGAAGTCTGACGGCGTCTTCACCGGCCCACCAGCTCCGCCGCCGCCGGTGCCGGACTTGTCCGCGCCGCCGGTGCTCATCTCTCTCGGTTGTGTGGGTGGGACTGGGAGGTTGCGAGGGTTTGGTCTTGGGCTTGGTTGGGCTGAGTTGGGTGGGATTCAGCTTTGAAGGCTCGGTCTGTTGGTTTGGAGTTCGAGGCGAACTGAGTTTACTGGACCTGGGGGAAATCCTGTCCGTTAATTATATATCTAACGGATCAGGAGAGACCCGGTGCAATGCTTTATTTTTTTCCCAAATGTAAGTGCCACACGTGTGGCACGAAGTAACACCGCCTGATGTTTTTATAACTACAATTGCCTCAAAAAACTGAAACTTGACATTCTCTGTTTCTTTTTACCCCGCGTATAAAATTTGATCAAAGTTAAACTACACAAAATTTGACAAAATTTATATTAAAAAATATGAACATCTATAATACTAAAACTATATAGTATGAAAATACATTTCATGGTCCATCTGATAACATTGATTTCATATTATGAATGTTGATATTTTCTAATACAAAGTTGGTCAAACTTTACAAAGCTTGACTTTGACCAAACTTTATATGCAGACTAAAAAGAAACAGAGGGAGTACCATACTTCGCAACTAAAGTTGACATTGAAAGAACATGCGGTGCCCCATGTTTGGTTTTGGTATTTGATGACAAACTCTATGGACTAATGGTTGTCTTGAGTTATATTTGAAGGATTTGTCCATAGAAAGTTCTTGAAGTCCATTTGTTGGTTTCAAGGAGTTTATATGTCGACCAATGTGTTATTCAAGGAATTATCAGAAGAGTGGTCAAGTAGAAGACACGATACAAGGTTGATTAAGACTAAGTCAAGAGTGAATCAAGTTGATCAACACACAAAGCGTATAAGATGTACCGAGAGGGATCAAGTGATCCCATGATATGGTAAGCATTGTCCATTACGCTTTATGTACTAACCCATGATTTACGTGTGAGTTCTATGTGGGGTTAGGTTTGTTTCCATGAGTTTGCACAAGAGGAATATCTCATACAACCCATGGAGGATGACATCAAGTTATGATCGTCATCAAGATTGCGGTGTGCAAGTTCGAGTGAAGCATCACGAAGAGATCATCCTTGAAGCTTGTCGTCCATTATGGTGTCAATGGACTTGTGAAGATGTGCCAAAGAGTGGCTCACTCATAGTGGAGTATGGGGGAGCAATCAACTAGTCTTCATCGAGCCAACGCAATAAAGAAAGGTGGTCCAAGTTGAGGGAGTCAAGATCGTTATCATCTAGCTCAAGTGGACTATGTGCAAGGCAAAGGTTTGCCCTTGATATGTGTAACACCCACAATGCGGCTATATCTCCCATGTGTCGGGGCACGACTTAGAGGCATAGCCGCATGGTAGGCATGTCGCAAGAGAGGTAATCTTTACACATCCCATGTACTGAATAAGAAAGGGATAAAGAGTTGGCTTACAATCGCCACTTCACACAATACATAAATATATCATACATCATCCAGAATACAATCAAGGTCCGACTACGGAACCAAAATAAAGAAAGACCACCACAAATGCTAGATCCCCGATCGACCCAACTGGGCTCCTCTACTGATCATCCGGAAAAGAAACATAGTAACGACCCGAATCCTCGTCGAACTCCCACTTGAGTTCGATAGCGTCCCTTGCACTCGCATCATCGGTACCTGCATCTATTTTGCAAGTATCTGTGAGTCACGGGGACTCAGCAATTTCACACCCGCGAGATCAAGACGATTTAAGCTTAAGGGTAGGAAAGGGGTAGTGAGGTGAAGCTGCAACAAAGCACTAAGCATATATGATGGCTAACTTACGCAAATGAGAGTGAGAAGAGAAGCAAATCATGGTCAAGAAAGCTAATAGTGATCAAGAAGTGATCCTAAAGCTACTTACGTTCAAGCATAACACGAGAATCGTGTTCACCTTCCCGGACTCCGCCGAGAAGAGACCATCACGGCTACACACCTGGTTGATGCATTTTAATTAAGTTAAGTATCAACTTCTCTACAACGAATATTAACAAATTCACATCTGCCCATAACCATGGGCACGAGTTTCGAAAGTTCAAACCCTGCAGGAGTGTCCCAACTTAGCCCATCACAAGCTCTCACGGTCAATGAAGGATATTCCTTTTCCCGGGAAGACCCGATCAGTCTCAAAATCCCGGTTACAAGACATTTCGACAATGGTAAAACAAGACCAGCCAAGCCACCCGATGTGCCGACAAATCCCGATAGGAGTCGCACGTATCTCGTTCCCAGGGCACACCGGATGGGCAACACATCGGGTTGGCATAGACCCTGGTTGCCCAGGGGGCGCCGGACATCGCCCAGTTCGGACCAACACTTAGAGAAGCACTGGCCCGGGGGGTTTAAATAAAGATGACCCTCGGGCTCGCGAAAACCCAAGGGAAAGGTATAGGTTGTTAGGCAAATGTAAAACCAAGGCTGGGCCTTGCTGGAGGAGTTTTATTCAAAACGAACTGTCAAGGGGTTCCCATAACACCCAACCGCGTAAGGAACGCAAAATCAAGGAACATAACACCGGTATGACGGAAACTAGGGTGGCAAGAGTGGAACAAAACACCAGGCATAAGGCCGAGCCTTCCACCCTTTACCAAGTGTATAGATGCATTAATTAAATAAGAGATATTGTGATATTCCAACATATCCATTTTCCAACATGGAACAAACTTCATCTTCACCTGCAACTAGTAACGCTATAAGAGGGGTTGAGCAAAAGCGGTAACATAGCCAAACAACGGTTTGCTAGGAAAGGTGGGTTAGAGGCTTGACATGGCAATATGGGAGGCATGATATAGCAAGTGGTAGGTAGCGCGGCATAGCAATAGAGCGATCAACTAGCAAGCAAAGATAGAAGTGATTTCGAGGGTATGCTCATCTTGCTGAGATCCCGCAAGGAAGAAGAACGAGTCCATGAAAAAGACAAATGGATGAAGTCAAACGAATCCTCACAAACGCAACGATATCGGAACTAACCCGAAGAAGCAACATCGGAAAGAAGCAAACAAAATGGTAAACAACCATCACATAATCATGGCATGATTCACAACCAAGTATGATGCATGTCCGATTTAATGAGGCATGGCATGGCAAAGTGCACAAACAATACTACAAATTAAGTGGAGCTCGATATGCAACGAGTTCCATATTGATGGAACACCACATCAATTATTTAGTTCTCTCCCATTTAGGTACACAACAATATTAAATGTTGTTAAGCATGGCAAGAGGTGAAGCATAAGTAAAATACACGGTTAGGCATTTTAAATGAGGCCGGAAACATCAAACAACAATTCCGATAAATCCCCATATGCATTTAGCAATTTAATGCAAACAACAATTTTAAACATTCTTGATGTTGTTATCATGATGCGGATTACATGTGCAAGTTTAAGCAAATTTTTATTAAAAGTTGACATGAGCATATTATGAGGCATTTGTCATCGTGGCGGAAACGAAAGGGGTGCCACGGCAACGAATCCGAAAATGATGTCGCGGCAACATATCGGTTTCGGTAACTTACAGGGATACCGGTGCAAAAGGAAAGTGTGCGGATGCGTGCAAAAGATGGTGGGTGGTCTCGGTTACCGGGTTCCCACGGGTGGACGGCATGACAACGAGGAGGAACAACATGCAGTCGACAATTCGAGCACGGTACAAACACGAGCATCTCATGCATCACACATGCATTCGTTCACGGGCATCGTCTTGGGGTTATACCTTTGTAGCGTGCATTATCGGAGCGGTTCGGGTTTGATGCGGTGTAGGGGAAGTAGTTGTACACTCGGTCCACGGTGACGGTAGTGGAAGTAGTGGTACACGACGACGGTAGAGGTACTCGCGAAAGTCGTCCACGAGTCTTGTGACCCACGGTTCTTCGGGCCATGGTAGTTGTACTCGGGTCTTCGGCCACGGTAGTAGTCGTACAATGTTTTCGTAGATGTTCGGGGTCACAACGAGGAACTTGACGTCCACGGGGTCTTCAAGGGTCGACAGTAGTGGAACTCAGTCGTTTCGAAGAGGTACTTGTCGAATCCAACGAATTCGGGGCGACGATAGGTGTACATGGGTCTTCGGCGATGGTAGATGAACATGACAAAGGTAGTGGTACTATGCGTCGATCGTCGTGGTACTTGGGGTCTTCAAACTTGTTGGTCTCATCACTCGAAGGGGTACTTGGCGTTCTTAGCGATTCCGAAGACGGCGGTAGAGGTACACTTGTTGTAGGGGAACTTGATGAAACCCAAGGCGACAGTAGTTGTTCAGGACGCGTTGTGGAAGTAGTGGTTCACGGCGTAGAGGAACTTGGCATTTTTGTAACCCGGGTCTTCAAGGGGCAATGCTGCACTTGGGGTACCACTTTCTGAAGGCGACCCCTGAGGATTCGACGAAGGCGCTAACCACAGAGATGCATCGATGGTGCTTGGAGGCAGCAGCGGGTGGCAACCAAGCGAGGAAGGTAGGCGGTGTAGGAGGTGAGGGAGATAGCCTGCTGCTGGGGATGTCCACGTCCATGGAGGTTGAGGCCGCGATAGCGGTGGACATAGGAGGCAAGCGAGGCGGGAGGTTGCTGGTGGCGTCGTGCAAGAGCGCAGCTGCGATGTCCGGTGGCTCGCAGAAGAGCAGCAGCGGGTTCAGGTGCTGGCCGCGGTCAGAGAGCGACAAGCACGGCAGCGATGCAGGCGAGGAACGAGAGGACGGCGCAGAGTCGATGAAGCAGCGGAGCTCCGAGCTCGGCTCCATGGCGGTAGCTGCGAGAGGCGCCTGGAGGAAGCAGGGAAGCGGCAACGGCGACCTTGGTGCGCAGGGGGGAGGTCCGGCGATGGCCCAAGGGCGCAGGTCATCTGGGAGGCCGGAGAAGGGGATTGAGCGTTGGGGAGCTCCTCTCCCTGGCGAAACGAGGCGGCGACAGGAAGATGGAGGGGATCGAGGGAGAGAAGAGCGAGGGAGATGGGGCGCTGGGTCTGGCGGCGCGAGGGGAGAGGGTGAGGGAGAGAC